AAACTACTGACACTGAGTACTTCGAATATTATGCGCTAAATATATGAGAGAAGCAATGTTTTCAAACAGGAATGAATACTCAGCGGTTTTTAGCTTTCTATTCAGATAACAGTGGTTAAGTTTTTTATGTTTATTTTAGGTATTTTGCTGTTATTCGTATTACATACGGTCTGAAGGAATATAATGTACTGCAAATATACACCGATGATAAAATTTATAAAATATTATAGTAATACTTATATCTAAATTTAAACTTACTTTATTTATAGCAAACTTTTAATTACGAGCACATCAAATGCTGGACATAAATTACGAAATATGTTGTTTGGCCATCGTGCTTGATGCTTGCTGAAAGACCACCCCTGATAGTAAAAGCTTACCAGTTTGGTCGAAATTACGATCTACGATATTTCTTTGAAGGGGTGGTTGTGTCGTCAGATTCTCTCAGATAAAATAGGGACATTTTCTCTGTCACAGCCTTTGACCATGACACTCTAAAAGAGTGAAACAAGTGGTACTGGTGACTAATCTAACAAATAGGACAAATATATGCCAAATAATATAAGAATCTCTCTCAACGCCATTTTTTCAGAAAATTTGGAGCTAAGAACCGACTGCAACTACATATTTCGCGAATGAAAAATTTTAATTGATTTTATGGATTTTAATATTTATTTTCAATTACTTCTAATATCCACAGCAAGATAAATTCTGCAAATAATAGAATTTAAATCATTCAGAACCTGTGCCTGAGGCCTAAACTATTATTCTTTTTCCCATTTTTTTCGAAAGTACCACCGAAATCCAGGGTGCTACTTCTATTCCTAGAGCGCCGCAATTTTGCATTACCTTTCAAATCAATGGTACTCATAATGAGCTGTGGTATATGTGAAACAACCAACGAAGCTGAATGACCATTGGTCATACCGCCCCCAGATGTATTGAAGTAAGATTAGTAAAAAGACGGTAAAGTTATGGTGCTGTATCTTTTGGTGTGGTTTGTTTGGACTGTGCTTTGTGACCGTGTTGAATTGACTTAAGTGTAGGTAGCTTTTAGTGATAAGCACTGAATTTTTATTTTCTTGTTGTATATTAATGTATAGTGCTTTCTTCTCAGGTGAGATCTAGTCATAAGCGTAGGCATTCCCGCAACTGTTTATCACACGCATTAAGTATAATTATGCCTTTATTTCAGCATATATGTTTGTATATATTTTAAGAGTAGGCTGAATACTTTAAGTTTTTTGCTCACGAAAATATTTTTTCTTAACAGTTAAATAAAAATATAATGTATTTAGGATATAATATAAGGTCAAATATAAATAAACTCATTACATTTGCTTTCAATTAAATGTTTTTATATCATAGTTGCAATAACCCGTTTTAGGTTGAATATGCACTGCTTTTGTTCGAATTTCATATTTGCAAGTTTTTTTTGGTAATTTCCCCATTGAAAAAAAACTGGAATAGTCGATTTTCACAAGCTTCTCTTGAGATGAAAGTTTCAGTAGTTAAATCTTTCGTCGTATACGATCAAGGTACCACTGACAACTGTTTTCGCTTGAGGTTGTCGTAAGTGATCCACCCTACACCATCCGCTTCAGAAATGAAGCAGGAAGTTTCAGAAAAGTTTTTTAGAATTGAAAAACTTAAATAAACAAGATGCGTTCTAAATAGTTCATTGTATTTTCCGCGAGCATCAGCGGGCGTGTAAAGGGCTGCGACTCTTCACGAAATATTTAAAATGTTTAAAATTGCAGTGTTTGTTTTAATTTGAGCTGCTACGGCAGCAAAAAATTCTGTAAAATAATGCAAAATTGCACTTTTACTTTTACAATGGGAAACATTTTTTTATAGTGTATTTTTAAAATCATTATCTGAAATCACTTTACTTCTAGCAAAATAAGATCACAGTCATGTGGAAATTAGATGAATTGTTTAAATTTACTGATCTTTATATTTGATAAAGACGGTTAGTCATTTCCATTTTGTACCTCTTATATGTAGCTGTATCTCCGAAAAGGAGATACACCCCTTTAGCCAGGGTTTACACATTCGACGACACTTGCACTTTGCCAGAAGGCCGTTTGGAAAAGTTTGTCGAGCTGTGTCGTTATATTGGAACCCAAAACGTATTATTTTAAAGGCACAGAGCTACTTGTTTGCTGCCGTGTGCCAAGGCTTTCAGAAATGGGTTAATATTTTGATATGACTTATCTGTTGGCCGGTGGTTTGGAAACAGCGCCTAATGAATTTCTTTATATTGTAAAAATACCCATTAGTAGAACAGTTGCTGGATAATGCGTCTTTTTAAAAGCTGTTAGTTACTCGTATACGGATTCAACTACTTACAATCACAGGGTTCACCATATATTAGAGCTGAGTTAATTTTTTTCAATCTAAAATACTAACATTACTTCTAAACCATCAAAAATACTATATATATTCCAATTAAAAAACTTGATACCATACCTTCTTAAATTGCTTTAAGCATTTTAGGTCGCTCTTGGCTGGAAAATAATAAAGCCACATGTTTATCGATACAAATGTGATGGCGCCTTAATCAGCTATAATTGTGTTCTAACCGCAACGCATTGTGTGAGCGTCGGTGAGTGAGTTGGTACCTCAATAATCTTTATAATTTTCTCAATATCATAATTAACAGTAAGGCACCAAGGGTTACTCTCTCAGGTGATGGTGAGTTGACAGACACCACATTACCACCAACGCCAATTGAAAATATTATTATACAACCAAAGTATGAAGCGAAAATATCGTACCATGTCATTGCGCTCATCAAAGTGGCCGAAGAGCTGTGAGTGTAAATTATGGGGTATATAATATGTACCTATATATTTTTGGTAAAATTAAAACAAATTCTATGCGCAGGGTTTGGGTCGAGCCAGCGTGCATTGGTAATCACTTACCGTTAATAGGTGAAAATGCTTCTGCTGTGGGATATGGGCACACCGTTTTTGGTAAGCAGTAATTTGTGTAAATATATCTGCTATTTAATGTAAGGGTACACTAATCATTGGAAACATATATTTGTTTAAGTTTCTGGATTTTTTCAGGAGGTATATATTGATCGATATATACCGTATAAAACCAAGCGGATGTTTGTAAATCCTTGTATTAAGTACATGGGGATTAGAAGAAGTATTGCCCTGATTTGATCAAATTTAGGCACAAGGGCACACTGTTATTAGAAAGAGACACTTTCCAACTGGAAGTTCGAAAACCTGTATGTTAGGTATACGGGGACTCTTTTTGTCAAAACGGCACGCTGTTACAAGGAAAGTATACTCTTTGCATGTCAATAATATATCTCAGAGATTATGTATATATTTTCTGTATAATAGCAGTAAGGCAGTTAGGTCCACATAATAGGTATCTTGGGCTCCAAAAGTTACCGTCCGATTTTGACATATTTAATTTGGTACTTTATTATGTCAATATTTTTTAAAAGGGAAAGATTCATATGGAATTTAAATTTCTGATATATGGGAAGTAGGCGTGGTTGTTGTCGGATTTCTATTTCACAAGGTAACATACGAATGTCGAAATAATTTTGCTTACCTAATTTGGTGGAAATTGGTCGATTAATTTTTGTAATATAGGATTTCACCACGCCATATGGCATTTTCGATTACTTGCGTCTTGTGACCATAACAATGGTCCAACTGCGCCCATATGGAATACCAATCTTCTAACCATGACAAGAAATATGTGTACCTAGCTTCATCAATATATCTAAATTTTTACTCCAATTACAGTTTGCACAGATGGATGGACAGACGGTCGACCGGATTTCAATTCGCTTCGTCGTCCTGATTATTTATATATATTTATAGCAACATGTTGCGAGAGTATAATAAATTGCTATTATAAAGTGATTACATCATGTTTTCATGTCCAAGAAGAATTTTTGCAGTTTTTTACTATACACAACCGCAGTTAACAACAAAAAATTGGGGGAATAAAAGAAAAATAGCAAATACATACGGTCAAAAAATGGCTGAGAGTTCCGGCTGTCTGTGCTCAAGCCTTAAGTGCAGGTCCCTCCTGTTGAAAAAATTTTTTTTTTTCAAAAATTTTCTTTTTTTATAATCTACAGATTTGACCCTCAGGCTAAGCATACAAATTTTTGTTTTTTCGCTCCACCCTAATATAATAAGCTTTTAAAACCTGGTGAAACTTTTAATACTAATCACTACCGACAACAAATGATCAAGTTGAACCATGCATTGATCGGAAAAGGGCCAGAATGGGCCAGAAGACACGGCAAAGTAATTTTGATACACGGCAATGCATCTGCACACAAAGCACCGGATACAATCAAAGTACTTGGCTGGGAGCTGCTTCTCCACCCGCCGTATTCACCAGAGTTGACACCTTCCGATCACCATTTATCTTCACCAATGTGACACACGTTGGCTGAGCAGCACTTCGGTTCCCCCAAAAGTCTAAATTTAGATGTCTGATTGGTTTGCTTCAAAAGACGATCAATTCTATTGCATTACAAAACTAGTATTTAATTTTCACAAAAAACTCATTTCATACCGGTACACCTGATAAATTAAGCATATATTTAAAGAATGAATTTTAGAATAATATTTTATTTGATTTTTGTTTCTCTTATCATAAATTATATTTGGGAATAATATATATATTATATATTCAATACATAAAACAGAGAAATGCTTGGAGATATTGTATTCTACATACAATCTAAAAAAGGAAGCCGTTGTTACCAGTTTGTCAAGCAAAAAGTTTGACACTAGCTTTTGTAAAAGCTTACTTAAAATTATACTTAGTTCAATGACTACTTGATTGTTAAAAGCTACCATCTAGCTTTGCTGTGAAAGCTTTTCATAAGTTTTAAGTAATTATCTTTTTATCGACGGGGAATAACAAAAAACGTTAGGCTGGAATATTGTCCGGAGAAATATTTTGCTACAATTAAAATATGGTTTTCTCAGTTTCGTGCAAAACGCGTTCGCGTAAAGGGCTGCGACTGTTGACGACTTTGAATTGAACTAATTCCATATAGACTGAAACGGATATAAAATGCTTAAAATTACAGTACTTGTTCTCATGTGTGCTGCCGCAGAGGCGAAAGGTGACATTTGAAAGAAGTTAACAAAAAAATGTGTGATATAATATGAAATTGTTTACTTTAAAGCAATATAGATAACTCTGAATAAGAATGAGAAAAAGTTTATTAGTTATATTAATTTTGTACCTTTTTTTGTAGTTGCACTACCGGAGAGGATAATATTTCGCAAGGATCACACCTTCGATAGTAATTGCACTTTACCGAATGGTCAAAAGGGTGTCTGCCGAAGTTTTATGGATTGTGGAACTGCAGTGGCGAAGAGAAATGAAAACAAAACCTGCTATTTTGAAGGCACCGAACAGTTTGTTTGTTGTCTTGTGCCAAGGCCATCAGAAATAGGTTCGATTGTGGCTAATCCCTCTGTCCAATTGTGGAAATTACTTAACATTTTTTTTCTCATTTAGCTTGCTCCCAATACTTCCCTTTCTATCGGGTAGAAGTAATTAACGGTTTGATAACGGCATTCAATGAATTTCCTTATATGGTAAGAATACCCATTAGGGAACACAAAAGCTGGATGTTGCGGATTTTTAAAGGCTAATGAATATACATATAATATAATTTTTACCTTTTGAGGGATTATAGCAATATTTTGCTTATCCTTAATTCCATTCTTCGACTTCGTTGCCGGGGATCTATGTAAGTCTCAATGTAGGCTTTGAGTTGCAACAAGAAAATTTAGAAAAAATATTAGACAATATTAGTATTAAAGTATTCAGAAAGTCTTCAATTTAAACATATTTAGGATTACAGTTACCACCTTTTAATAAAAAAAGTAAGTCAAATATTGCCAAATGTCCAGGCTGGAACAAATTAAAGTTATGACAGCTTAATGGAAAGTATTCAAAAAGTAATCATTGTTGTAATGGCATGTAGTGCTATTGAAAAATAAGTATGGGAAAAATGTTACTAAAAATCTCGAGTTAAGTACTTGTTTATAAGTTTAAATACTATCTACAATACTGAGTTAATATCAAGTTGCTTAATGAGTCTTGGAATAAAGTTTTTACAATCTTATAGTGTTATCTTTCTCCTGAATAATCAAAAGTACTACATACTCGTATTTTTAGATCTATAAGATTCGACTCACATTTTGTATCATACTTCTTTAAGTAACGTGTAAACTTTCAGGTTGCTCTTGGCTGGATTACAACGAAGCCAAAGGTTTATGATTACAAATGTGGTGGCGCCTTGATAAGCTATAAATGGGTTCTAACCGCAGCGCATTGTGCCAGCGTCGGTGGGTGAGTTCCTACTCTCTTCCTTTACATACATACATATGTGGTTCAGAATCATACAATTTTCTCAATGCCTAATCTTATAGTAAAGAGCCGTCTGTCGTTCTCTCAGGTGGTGTCGAGTTGACAGATACCAAATTTCCGCCAACGCCAATCGAAAATATTATTATACATCCAAAATATGAACCGAAAATATCGTACCATGACATTGCGCTCATAAAACTGACAGAAGTGCCGTAAGTATGAGTAAAATAATATATAACGAATTTATAGAAGCTATCCGTTAGCAGACGTGAGACCGAGCCAGCTTGTATTGGCGATCATTTACCCTTAATTAGTCTAAATGCGACCGCTGTTGGATATGGACACACCGTTTTCGGTAAATGTCATTAATTATAAATGAATTTATTATGTATGTGAAATAATTTTAAGTTATTCGCCAATATTCAGAAATTTTGTATTTGACTAATTTTCCAAATTTTTTCAGGCGGCAAACCATCTAATCAGCTTCTTAAAGCTTATTTGCAAACTATTGAGACAGTTCTCTGCCAATTTTATTTCACTGATCAGGATGCGCTGCCAAATGGACTGATGGATACACAGTTGTGTGCAAAAGATTTGCAATTTAATAGAGACACTTGTCAAGTATGCGACTTATTGTGACATTTCGTTGAATTCATACTGAATACTTTTGTTTATTAACGTTAAAGGGCGACTCTGGCGGTCCGCTGGTAATAACTAGAAATAATGGGTATAAAGCAGAATCTTTTGTGATTGGTGTCACCTCGTTTGGTTTGGGCTGCGCCACAGATGCTCCAGGGATTTATACAAATGTAGCGAAATATTTAGATTGGATTGAGCCCATATTATGGCCAGATTTTATAAGAAAGAATGAAGGCTAAGCGTACTAATTAGTGTAGTTTACGAGAAGGAAGGCAATGGTTTCAAACTGGGTTTTATTGTCGTGAAAATTTATGATTAAAATATACCTACTTAATTCTGATCAAATTAATATGATAAATATAGCTAATACCACTAATTAAAAAACTTTAACCCTAAAGATTTTATTTATTCGATCATTTAAAATTTTTTTTTATATATGTTTATCGATTTGCTATTTTAGCCTTAATATAGTTTGTATGATATAAAACACTATTAGAGCAATTAATTATTCATTCCATTCTACATTACATCAACACATTTCACATTAATGGACTTGACTTGTTTTGTATGAATGTATATATGAGCTAGGTATTTTATATTTATATACCATTTAATAGAAATACTACGCAAAAAGTTACAACACGACATACAACGTTTTACATGTATTACTGTGAATATTTTAGCGCATATATATTATACCTTCTGCTCAACGCAAAACGAGACTTTATCCATAACTCGACAAGGGTCATGTCCTACTTGGCCATACTTTTCTTTGCTTAGGTTGGCAGGACTGTTATATGTTTACATGTCAAATTTGAGCGCGATCTGTCACATAGTTTTTTTTTTAAGGCACTATAAACAAGTCAACCTCGAGTGTGTTTTTCGAATTTTACTATGGAAATTAACGTTGAGCAAAAAGTGTTTGTTTGAAATTTTGTTTTTCCAATGGAATAAGTGCGACGGACGCAATGAAAATGTTGCAGAAGGCATATGGGGAGTCTTGCCTATCACGTGCACGTATTTTTGATTGGTATAAGTCGTTCAAGGACGGCCGTACATCGCTGGAGAACCTGCCCCATGATCGTCGTCCAGCAACGTCAATAAACCAAGAAAACGTCGAAAAAGTAAAGAAAATTGTGTTGGAAAATCGTCGTGTGACTCAAAGAGAGATAGTTAGTGAGCTCAACATATCAAATGGATCCGCTCATAGCATTATTCACGATGTTTTGGGCATGAGACGTGTGTCTGCTCGACTTGTTCCAAAATCCAGCTCATACGTCTCGTCTTGTACGCGATTATTTGACCAAAAACAACGTAAATATTGTTCCGGAAGCACCGTATCCACCCGACATGGCACCGTGTGACTTTTTTCTTTTCCCTAAACTCAAATAGCCGCTTCGTGGAAAGCATTTTCAGTCAATTGAAGTCATAAAAGAGAATTCGAAAAAGGAACTGAAAGCCATACCTAAAGCGGCCTACCAGAAGTGTTAGGAAGATTGGAACAAAAGGTGGCATATGTGTAATGTGCCTCTAATGGTGACTATTTTGAAGGGGATAAAATAAATATTGAAGAATAATTAACCGTTTTTGTTGTTTGAGCCAGTCTCGTTTATATTTGAGCCGAAGTTTTTTAAAGTTTGCTACGACGTTTGTAACACCCAAAAGAAAAATTCAGACCCTATAATGTATATTTATACAAACTTGTATATAAATAACTAGCGTAACGATCTGATTGGATTTAGCCAAGTCCGTCTGTGTATCCGTCCGTCTGTGTATCCGTCCGTCTGTATATACGTGAACTAATCCTTTGGTTTTTGAGATCTCGATTTAAAATTGTGCACCTTTTTCTCTGAAACTGCTCATTTGTTGGAACCGCCGATATCGGACCACTATAAGTTATAGCTGTCATACAGACTGAATGATCGGAGTAAAGTGCTACAAAACTTTTTCAAACTCATTTTACGAGATATTTTCACGAACTTTCGCATGGATTATTGACTAACGCAGTGGTGTGATTTTCGAAGAAATTGTTCAGTATGAGTCACTATAGCATATAGCCGCCAAGCACACTGACCGATCAAAATCAAGTTCTTGTAAGCAATCTTTTGTATATGTGAACGGTATTACAGTTTCGGTACAACCAAAGTTAACGAAGTGAATTTCTTTTTATATAAATTTTTGTTGACTTTATATATGGCCTTATATATTATATATTAATATTATAAATTGCATTGTTAGTATAGATTCAAAACACCCGTTTTTCCACCAACCTTCACTTATTTCTTAACCTTTTATTTTATGTCAACAAACCCTGTTCCAGATCGAAAAATTAAATCGAACAAATGAAAATGAGTATATGCTATGAGAAAGACGCGAAGATCTTAACTTACTACGAAATATACCGCCTCTATTTTTAACATTACTAAGCTTCATTAACCCCGTGAGACAGTCTACAAAATGGCGATTTTTGGGATGCAAAAAAAAAAAACACCAACGGAATCAATTAAATTTTATTTATCAGTTTTAGGGGTATATTTATATCTGGAATCAACATAACAGTAAAATTTTTGATGAAAAAATTAAATATTTTTAGTGTTTCACGCGATATCCGACGATTCTAAAAACAAGGTTCTCCACTGCCGCACTGATACCAACCATCTCCATAGACTAAACATAAATTCTCTCTAAAAGATATTGTCCGTACAATAACCTACCGTTGAAAAAAGAAAAATGTAAAAAGTGGCGTCCTTTTAAAAAAAAAGTTGAATTTTGCATGAAATTTTGGTCGTTTTTAGCTTGCCATAATTTGATCAGATCAAACAATTATGGAGAACTTTCTATAATTTGTATCCGAGTAATCACAGCAGCAAATTCAAAGAATGCTGTTTCGAGCAAAACGTGGTTAGTAATAAACTAATGGAGCTGATTGACTTACTTGTTAATTCTCTACTGAGTTGTGAAACTCACAAATACATTAACATAATTTACTAATACTTGTACAGTTATAAGATATTTGTGGATTTGTGGATTAACCTACACGATGTGTGTGAGCTTTTAGGATTGCCACACTTCTAGCATCCACTTTGCACTTTCGGTTGATGACACCAATTTATGGGCATTCTGAAAGCTTTAAGTGCAGGACAGCAACTTTTCTTTTTAAGTTAGGTGGGTGACAAAGAACAATCGCTGCATGAAGGTGTTACAAAAGCTCTTCCAAATCGTTCACCAAGCGAAGAGAAATGAGAATATACATATTTAAAGCATAAACAGTGGTAAAAGATGTGAGATATGTGCTTTCAGAACTGTGAAATTTAAATCAACCTTTGCAGACGTATTTGACTTTTCTGAAATATTTGTAGAAAAAAATACCGTTATAGATTTGAAACATTACTATAAGCATTTAACTTATAAAATCAATATTTTTTAAACACAGTGTAAAAGTGTTCATATATGTTTGGTTGCTGATAACGCAGATGAAATGTATATGCAACATATGTGTATGTTAGTATATGTGTATGTTAATTTGTTTGTAATAATTAAATTTTGTTTATAATAAATCTTTTATTGGTGTCAGTCTTATATTATTCTTATCATATTTTTGAATTGGAAGTACAACTTTCCTTAGCTCCATAAGCTTGTTCAGTCTCAATGAAATTGTGTCAACCACCCATGTTGCATCGAATTAAATTAATTTAATATATTTGTTAATATTATTAGTCATAGTTAATAAGAAATGCTTAAAATGCGTTTGGAAGTGCTTCTGCTGTTAGCATTTTCTGCCACAACACTAGGTTATTACTTAAAAAATCTATAAGGGCAAGATAGCAGCTTAAAAAGAAATAATATATTTCAGCACAGATGCCAGATCGCATCATATTCCCCGATATCGATGATTTCGAAAGTGAATGTACTCTGCCGGATGGAGAGAACGGTATGTGTCGAAATATTAGATATTGCCCGAGTGCCTTAGATTCCAGAGAACGCGTGAAAACCTGTTATTTTGAACGTTCCGAGCAGATCGTTTGTTGTCGCGATGTGCCCAAGGAATATGCAACGACAAAAGGTATATAATGTTGTCGTTAAATATTTTTGAAAACTTTCGACGAAGTTATGTTCGATACTTTTATAAATATCAAACACATTTGCTGTTTTCTATGGCTTCATTTGAAATTATAATATTACTTCTCTCAGCATGTTCTAGTTACTATCCGATAGTCGACCAAATGGTTGGCGGCCTTAGCACACGACCAAATGAATTTCCATATATGGTAAGTAAAAATATAGATCATTTTATAATTTAATCTAATATTTAAGTAGACTTATAATTGCACCTTCACTTATAGGTTGCTTTGGGTTTCGAAACAATATTGCCCGATTTCTATGAGTTTAAATGTGGTGGTGTTCTGATAGCTCCTAATTTTGTATTAACCGCAGCACATTGTGCACGGATTGGAGGGTATGTATCTATTAATAATATATTTCGTATTTTATGAGTTATTTTCAATACATTATATTGTGTGTTGCTTGCAATAAATAAACTTCTCCAGCGTTTTTAATAACTTAGAATACAAAATAAACTTTTAAATTTAATTTTTTGTTTAAAAATTCCTTATTGGAACTATGAGAAACCTATATTCCTAAAATTTATTCATTAGAAAGTTCTAACTCCTTCCTCCATTTTAGCGCCACACCTGCGGTAGTATTACCCGGTGGCGGCAGTTTGACTGACTACACGGTGAAAAAACATCAAATTGCCGATGTTTTAATTCATCCGGATTATGATCCAAAGAAAGCCTACAATGACATAGCACTGCTCAAATTAAAACAGGCGATAGTGTGAGTCGAAAATCCACATATATAGATATTTGTATAAATTAATTGGTTTAAAAATATTTTTAAATTATTTTCAAAGAAATTTCCAGCCAGCTTGCCTCGGCGAAAATGCCATATTGGATAACGAAAATATCACTGCAATTGGTTATGGTCACACCCACTTTGGTAAGTCCGATGTATGTTGCACATATAAATCTTTTTGTATTGATGAACTTCATCTGGAGCACAGGGTGGTTCAGAGAGGACATAATAGAGTGAACGGATTTTAGTCCCGAGCTTCCTAAAGTATTAGGTGCGTTATGAGATATCCACCCTTTATCTGAACAGGGTATATTAAGTTTGCCACGAAGTTTGTAACACCTAGAAGGAAACGACGGAGACCCTATAAAATGTATACATAAATGATCATAATGATGGACTGAGATGATTTAGCCATGTCCGTCATTTTGCACACGTCCTTTTCTCCCCAAGATGCTGCTCATTTGTCGGAACCAATATCGAACCACTATAGCATAAAGCTGCCATACAAACTGAACATTAGGAATCAAGTACTCTAAGTCAATAGTGCAATTTCCGAAGGAGTTGTTCAGATCAGATCACTATATCATATAGCTACCTTACAAATTGAATGATCCGAATTCCGAAGTTCTGTGAAGGGTATTATAGGTTTGGTGCAACTGAAGTTAACGTTTTTTCTTGTTTTTAAACTTCGGAATAGCTAAAAAAAAGATTATAAAAATCTTATTCCTTCGAGCAGTACCTGACAAAGTGTGACAATTTCAAGACGACGGGACTAGCCGTTTCGGGACTAAATTTTCCTCACAAAGGAAGGTTTTGGGAGCCGTTTACACCAAATTAAAAACTTTTTGAAATATGCTCATATCCGACACTACAATATTTGCCGTGTCAACTTAACATTTTCGGAGAATATACCTATGTACATTCGATATATAAGCCAGAAAAAAAAATCGATTTTTGGCAATTCACAAGTGGATATAACCGCTTTATATATTTCTACTCAAAATTCTTAGCATTACATATATATTTATTTTACTCTTTCTCTCCGTATTTCTTATGTTATTGCATTTGTACAAGCCTTTAATTCTCTTTAAGTGCGGTGATATTTGGCTTCTTTATAGTTATATACATAATTCTCTTTTCTTTCTTTTAATATGCAAATATTCACTTCTTGGACGCTAAAATAATAACTTTCTTTGAACACACCTACATATACCATATATATGTAACGCACTCAGTTCTTCTTCTGCTCGCTCTCTTCCAGGTGGCCGATCCTCCGATGATCTTTTAAAGGCGTATTTATTGGTTGTAAGCAATAAAGCGTGTCAAAAGTTTTATAAAGATTCCGTTGAGTTGCCAAGAGGTCTTATGGATACCCAATTATGTGCACAGGATCAACAGTTTGGACGTGACACCTGTCAGGTGAGTTTGTGACTTCAGTTAAAATGTTTATTATTATTTCTGTTTTATTTTTCTAAATTTAACTGCTACAGGGTGACTCCGGTGGGCCTCTGATATTGAAGAATATACACATACCCTATGTGGTTGGTATAACATCCTTTGGTTTGGGTTGCGCCACGGAAGCCCCTGGTGTTTATATAAGAGTGTCCAAATACCTGCACTGGATCGAGCCGATTGTGTGGCCGAATTGAATGATATTTTTCTATTTTAATTTCCAAGTTTTATGTTTCGTATTAAAAATGTCTATTTCTTATATATTATTTAAATAGTATAAAATTATTTTTCTATAAATATTAATTTCGCTACTTCTTAGTGCTCATGACTGCTCCAAACCGTGTTCTCAATCCAGTCAAGGAACGAGTATATGCGTGTATAGACACCAAGGTTTTGACTACGGCAAAGCAAACCGAATGAGGTGACGCCGATCAAGTGATAGTGTATGCGCTTTCTGCGTCGCTTTCCTCTGATATTATACTGCAGCGGACCGCCGGAGTCTCCCTACGGAAATTTTTCCAAATCAATTTTAGTTCTTTTTTGTTCCTTATAAAATTTAATACGGTTCGGCTTACCTGACAAGTATCGCGATGCATTATAAAATCTTGCGCACAAACTTGACTCTCAATTATGCCGTGCGGCACTTCGTCCAGCTGTGGTAGACGCTGATTGCAGTCATTGTTCTCCACAATAGTCAAATTGAAGTCGGTGAGCCGCTGGGTGGGCGCTTTCGCAAACGAGGTGGCACCATAGCCCATAGCGAAAGCGATGGGTAACGGTAAATTAGGACGTGTCCACAATTTAATTGGACGTACGAACTCGGTGAACCTGGGAAAAGTGATGTGAAAGTGGGAATATAATTAAAAGAGTTTAAATGAAGAGTCTTATATATATCTTTGCTTACTCAACACTTGAATTTAACAGTAAAAGCGCGATATCATTGTAATAGGTCACGCCATCGTATTGTGGATGCGTGTATATGGTTTGTATGCCAAATATTTGTGGCCCAAAATGTTGTGCATTTACCATAAGATTGGTTTCCCCGAAACGCGCCACCGTAGGTACTTCGCTGGAAGGCAAAAAAATGTTGAAAGAAAACTTGCTTAAAATGAGAAACTATATCAGGTATTGAGAGCAATAAATATACGAGTATGTTAGTGTTGTTTTCTTGGGTTCGAATTATGCGGAAGATTCTTCACAACTACAAGAATCTAAAATTTACATATCGACTCTAAATCGCTAATTGATTGAAAAGCTCTTTGAAAAATTTTATTTTCATTCAGCATGATATTAAAGTGTGGATAGTGTATACCAAGTCGGTCAACATCTTCGACTGCGAAAAATGTTAAGTTAAAATTAGGACTTTCCTTGAGCACAAGATATTTTCGTTTTACGATGTCCGTGAAAGTTCTACGAAATCTAGTGCTTTCCTTAATCTGAAATTTGAAACCTTTATAAGAAATCTGAAGGTGGAAAGCTCTGATATGATGAGCCCAGTGACCGTGCGCTGGATTCAAGCTATTCGATTTAATTGCATTTAGCTATTTCTTAAATAGTATAAACGCTGGAAACCATTCGGTGGATGAGCTTGTAAGGAGGAGAGTCCACAAATAGGTATATTGAATAGTTGAACCTTATATAAGTCGAGCGAGTATTGGATATCCTCAAGTATTTACACAGTCGAAGGGTCCGGAATGGAGAATTGAAAATACAAAGAGACTCTCTGTAAAATAAATTTCTTACAAGTAATAAGGATTCCGGCTGGTCTTAGTAGATTTATAATGGACACAGGACCACTCGTTAATATATGTAGTATTTTGTTTTTTTATTATTTTATTTATTTTAGAAATAATGGACTCAGAGGGCACATGTTCGAAAATGTCTAAGCATGATTCAAAGTTTAATTCCGACACAGATTAATATCTTTTACATAGTCAACTGTATAAGTAAATAGGATACCGTTAAGAGTTTAAAGTTTGGGAAAGTTTGCTTTAGTTGAAAAAATTAAAACGTTTTTTTTTCCTATGACCGTACGTTCTTTTGTGGTGGTATATTAAGGAAATATTAAACACGAGGTTAATAAAATAAGTTAGATTTATTTCGTCGATAAATTGCATTCGATTTTCGATGCTGGTCAAAAGAGTTTTCATTTACAAAGCTCTTGTTGATAAGTCTCGATCACTGCGTAGTTCGGATGTAACTTATAACGAATGTATCAACGCTTACTTGATGAGCTTCACTGACATGCAGTGGAACTAATTCCTTATAAAGACAGCAAACAGTAGGTTGAAGTGACATGATTTAAACTAGCCAACTAGATGTCCGCGTTAAGAAATTAAAATGCTTTACAAATACAGATACACAAATAATGAGTAGCTGAGTCCGTCATATAGGTAAAACAGCCATTAATAGTAATACTCATATTACGCATTTACGTATTCAATTAATCTTAATTGAGTTTTAAAATCCCAAAATAATGAGATACTCATAGAATATATGGTATATTTAACTTACTCCGTTATATTGGTACAATGCGCTGCCGTTATTACGAAGTTCTCACTTATCAAACTGCCGCCGCATTTATAATCGTATGTGTGGTCCACCCTTTCAAAGCCCAGTGCTGTCTGTAAATAAGACAGTGTGACAATTGAAATTACACTGAAATTAGCTAATCACTTATTCTTATTAATACTTTTTGATTAGAAAAAATGTTTGTTCTATATTTATTTGTAATGAGTATAACGTAACTAAGTAAATAGGAGGGGCTTCCCGTTATTGATTTATTGTGGGTATTTCTCTAAGAATGTGGACCGATAGTGTAATAAGTATTATGTCATTTGAATCATTAATTTTTAAATAGACAAAATCATTCCAAAATTGTAAAAAAAAAACGCTACAGTATCAATGATTACCTGCAAAAGGTGGTCAGACAAGTCAGAAAAAAGTGCTTTTTAATAAAATTGTTTGGTGATAACGGTAAATGCTTTATAAATGAGTCAGCAAAATTGACGTTACGTCAATACATAACGGATTGAAATTAAAATGCGTAGTTGAAAGTAAAATTCTTTAATTTCATTGTGTTTCATTCTAACAAGAACAGCCAAGCCTTACTAGAGATTTCAAACATCTTTTCATCAAATATTTACCGTTTTGTGGTTTTATGGTGTATAATAGTGTCTTATAGTTTCTTTAGCTCTGAAGACTTAAGATGATTTTTGTTTATAATAACGGCAAGTGCTACAATGCTAAGCTATTTAAAATTAAAAGAGAACCGACTGAGTCCATGTTATAGTTGTCTTGTGATATGCAGATAAACGCAGAAGGTTGTCAAAACACTCCTAAGAAGTTCGGCACCAAAGGTTCAGTCTAATCGAGACCTAGTGATAATTTGATCCTGGCAAAAGTTTTATCATAAATATATGTTATTTAATTTTGGGGAGAATATTTCTTTGATATTAATAAATACTTGTGCCAAAAAAGGATTAGATCGGATCAATACTTCCCTTAGCCCGAAATTTCAATTGATTTTATACCATATAATATATCGGGAGTTATTTTGATGAATGTGTTTTTCTAATAACAGAGTATCTTTGTGCCTAAAATAGATAAAAACGGTCGAAAACTTGCCTTAGTCCTCATATAACTGATATTCAGGGTTTTGAAACGTTCGGCTGACTTTACTCCATATATATATGTTTTTATTTATAAATTTATAAAATTGCATGAAAATAAATAAATGTGACCAGGCCTTCCATTTCTATGAACCAAATGTTATTTGTATAATTTTCGCTGATGGGAAATAAAATATAGTTATGGAACTAAGTGAGTCTATGATCTACAAAATACGTTAATATGATACTAAATTTGATTGTAATCCATTGACCATTTCGTCGAACAATGAAGTTGGACTTTTTCACTACATTTCTTAACATAAAGTTTTGCCAACATCTGATGGTATTTCCCCGGCTTTGATTCTTGCAAATTGCAGGAGTATGAAAAGTTCTTAGCCCTTTCTTATTTGTTTTCGTGTACTTTTAATGTTTTCTTATTTGTCTTGAATGGCATAGCATTCCATTGCCATCAGTATTTACCACGATTTCATATTATATCTTTTTCTGCGGTACTTTTCCACTTGAATTCTAGTTGACTGTACAATATTTTTGGCTCATAAATATACTATATGTATGAATATATGTATGTATGTATATATGTATGTATGTATATATGTAAATGGAGTGTATGGCTTACCATATGCGGGTATTCACCGGGTGTTGCCAATACACGACCATCGAACTCTGCATCGTTCGCATCCGCCGTCGTCTCTGCATCATTGCTAAATATTTGAGCAATATACTCATTATACTCTGTTAAAAATATAATAATAAAGACTCATTTATAGTACATGCTCAATTGTGTACTGTTAGGTAGGTATAGATACATACTTACTTCACAGAGCCTTCGGCTATTCTCTTCTGACTTTTGTTTAATCGAATTGTGTTTCTGTGAATTTTGGCTATTTTGTAGACGATCGCCATCAATCACTTCCGGTTGGCTTACATTTTCGCCGTAAAAATTCCGTTCAGTATTCTGATTAAATATATTAACAGGTTCAAGTTCATTTCGGTTTTTACGACGGAGTTCTTGTTCACTCTCTTCTTCCCTTCTTTTTTGATTTTGATTGCGGTTATTGTTTTCGAACTCCGATCTAAGACTTTCACTGGGTTGCTCTTTAGAAATACTCGAAAATGTTATTTTGACATTATCTACCTTCCGATTAAAATTTGGTGGTGGGACATTTGGTTGTCGATTGTCGGCGTTTGGTCGCCTCACTATGGACACAATGTCAACTTCAAAAGTCGACTCTTTGATGCGTGTCACCGATTCTTCGAAGAGGTCGTTTGGTGTTTTTTGTGCTTCAATCGGTGGGAAACGTCTTTGCGCATTCACTTGACTTAAAACCGCTGCAGTTACGAGCAAACAAATTACCGTTTCAAAACACATTTCTTGCTTGCTTCATGAACATATATTGACACGAAGCTTCGCAGAGTGACTAAGGCTAAAGCTATAAGACGTTCTTAAGCGATCTGCAAACCGCACGCTTCTGTAGTGAGTGAAACACTGAAGTGTGTAAAGTAAACAAATCTCTGATTCTCGTGCGTTTGCTTTCTTATCGGATGCTTGTTCCGAGCAGATACATACATATGTATTTGTTTAGGATAGAGGGCAGCTTTAGAGAGTAAAATATAATAAATAACACATTGTGGGTTTTTGTATTTTTGATATTTTTCTTTCTTTTATATTATTTTTATAGCCTGGTCAGGGTATATTAAGTTTATGACGATATTTGTAACTCTTCCATTTGACGAGATATCTTCTCGAAGTTTGGCAAAAGTCATAGTGTAAAGCATTAATGTATTTCTCGAAGAAATTATTCAGATCGCATCACTAAACCATGTAGCTGCCATATAAACTGAACGATCGGAATCAAGTTCTGTGAAGGGTATTATAAAATTCTTTCGGTTGGTCATCTTTGTCAAATTGAAAAGTACGTCAATAGATATATAATATTTATACGCAGGGAGGTCCTAATATGATGTTATAGCATGAAAAGTTAACAAAGTTTTTTTTTTGTATTGTCCCACTTTATTATTGTATATTGGGATCTCGGTTTTGGGTCCAATTCGCCCTAAGAGCCTAATTCATTAATGAGTTATTTGCATAGTAACGGTTCTGTTTGCCATAATATTCTAGCTTGTTTATTATAGCGAAACCGCTGATAGCACAATTGCCAGACCCGCCGCTCCCACGACATTCGGTGCTATGATCCTCGAATTTATAAAAAAAGGCGATATAAGCATTATAATTTGGAGTATGGCCACTTTTAAATAAAAGGTCATTCGTCAAAAACTTTGGACCAGTATTCGTAGCGTGTACATTTTTTTTAAAAACGATAGATTTATTATAAGCGTATTCATATGTCCACCTATCCATCTGTCTGTATTTTGCCACTATAAAATATAGCTGCCATACAAGTGGATCAATCAAGAACACGTCATTGCACGTAACACTTTTTTATTTACGAAACATATATTTGATATGCAAACTGACCGATCAAATGCAAGACAAACGACTTCAAAACAGAAATTACCTTCGCCGAAATTCATTCAAACCACTTCATTTAAGAAAGTTATTAATATGTAACAATTACCGGTTATAAATATATATTATTATAAAACAACAGTACAAATATATACACTTATTTCATTTCACATTTCAGATATCGATTCTCAAAGTGGCCGGATCAACAACGCTGGCACTTTGAATTTGATGAAATTGCGACGTGCCTCCAAGATGTTCGTATTGAGCTGAAGCGCGAAAGCAATATTTATTAATTTTAGCCAGATTATAATTAATTAAAGAATTATAAAACATTCAACTTACCGATGATTTGCTTTTGCAGTTCCTCAAGCTCCTGATCGTTGCTATATTTCAGAAATTGTACGCCAGGTTCATTAGCTGGTGCTGCGGTCGTTAGAAGCACGAAACAAGCCAAGATTGCGAAGATGAGCTAGAAAATATTGAATTGAATTTTTTTTGCTTAGTATATTTATGCATTGGAAATATATTGTTGATCTCATACAGATCATTATAATAGAATTAAACGACCCCGTTCAATAGAGTAAGGACGATTTCGTCTCGGTTAGTCTGATGACAGAGAGACTCTTTTTTGGCAAGTCGGTAACTTTTTTTAGAGCCGAGCACCAATAGCAATTAAAGCTGAAATTTTTCCAAAAGTTATAAAATATAATACATAAAATGTTTGATAAGCCATTGGTTTAAAGTTCAATTTAATCTAATGAAAGAAAATATTAATTAAATGATTTTATGTGAAAGAATGGTAATGGAACATCAAAAAATTATGAGAACTTTATCAAAATTGAATATCGCTCAAAACCAGTAGCATAATTTTAAATTTCGTTCTGGTTGCAAATACGATTAATCATACTGAAGGCTAAATTTAGCACCTACAAAATCCTCCAAGTAATGACTGCTTAACGAGGCTCTAGTATAAAACTTAAAATTTTTATGACTTTTTTAAGCACATGGTTGATGGATCGAGGTCGGAGAATATAGAATTTTTTTAAAATAAAAATCATCCATTTTTAAGTCAATTCCATACTATATACCAAAAGAAAAAAATGATGGTTCATTGATAAAATTAGAATCTATAATCTTAAAACTCGAAAATTCGATTTGAGTAAAATCCTTAAATTTTATTACCTCAAGAGCTTAGTATTGGTTGATATTTCTAACGTAATCTAAAAAGTACTTCACACATTTGATATTTCAACGCTCTTCAAGAAAGTCTTCACAAAAGTTGTTATGTAACCAAACCTGTTTGGTTGAAATCATTCTCACATTTCGTTTTTGAAAAAATTAATTTCGACCCACTGACAGACTTTTCGCACAACTTTTTTTCAAGCTTTCAAGGCTTTATTGTCCAAGTTCAGAAACTTTCTTCATTGAAACGCATAGTTATTCCAAAAAAAATATTCAACTTACTCCTACGGATTTCATTTTGTTGTTATATAATTGTTATCACGCTTATCACCAAACACCAATTCACCACAAACTAAGCTGCCTCCAGACTTGAAAGCTTCATTTTATACCCACATCCAAATTAGCAACATATTTATGTATATATATATATTAATAATTAAGTTGTTCGTTCAGCCGCTTAAAATGTAGATTTGATGTTGATCAACATGTTTCATTGCTTAGTGCATGATTAGTGTTTCATAAAAGTTGCGAAAATTAAAACAAAAATAGTTTTCAGAGTCTGGTTTGTAGTTTATTTTTCGTGTTCTTCGTTAACGTTTTCTAATTAAAAACGATACCAGTTTTGTTTAAATTCAAACACTTTTCGCACTAATTAATGTTTGGAGTCGTCTGTATTGCAGGTCACCGGCAATTCGTTAGCTTTAGGTCCGTAGAAAACGAGAATTTGCTTTTGTCTTGTCTTTATTAGTAAAAATCTTCTGTTTATTTGGATTAGTTGAGATCAAGCTTTTCCAATTTTACTGACTGATTCAATGACCATAAAATGTGCGGTAACCAAAACAGGAAAAATTAGTTTTAGATTAGTAGAACTTCTTTTGGCATTCGTCTAAAGTTTGAGCGAGTATGGTGAGTACTGTGACAGCAAGAATAACAATGCACGATAGCAGCAATTCTCAGCATCTTTTGATTTGTTGATTCTTTGAGCAAGAAGCGATTTGTCGATGGACTTTTTGTGTATGAAAGAAGTTGGGTAATTATCTTAAATCCAAAAATCAAAAAATTTATTATTACAATAGGACTTAGCAAAATTTTAATTTTTGACAAAATGGCAGCTCCCCAAAAAAAGTCGTCTTTTGTGAAAAAATTTACATTTTAAAGTTGTTTAAAAGACGCGTTTAAAGCTTTGCGAGTCTTTTCTTACAAAGACTATTTTCCGGATCAACTTCAAATTTTCGGGTAATGTTCTCAATTATACTTTGTTTATATATATTAAATATATAAATGCAAAAAAAAAATCGATTTTTCGAAATTCCCCACCAATTTTTAAACTTCAGATCAGTTGAAGTAACACCCTTTTGTAATAAGTCATCAAAAAGCTGCTAATTGGAATACATGCTGATAACAAGACTTGTCCATAATTTCATCAGAGTACTGATATTATCAACAATCCAAAAACTGCACATACGATTTTTCCCATTCACTGAATTTTTGCTATATATTATATTTAGGTTCCCCTCTGTCAAGGTTGAGTAAAAATGTGCGAAGTAACAATGCTTTTAGCTCCACTCTAATGATGATGATACACGAAACAATTCAATGAATTTAATTATAATACACAGGCATACATATAAACATACATATATACGAACCCAATTCAAGTGGCCAAAGCAAACAATGTGAGAAAATTCCTCCGAGCCTAAATCGTTTTTTCGAAAATTTTATTTACAAAATACTTAAATAGATACAAATAATTCAATATGCAATAAGGTACCAAAAACAAGCGCATACACATTTATGAGATCTGAACATCATTAGACTAGGAACATAGTGATGGAAGGAGTTTTTTAGGATTACTCTAAGCTGTAAGATATGCAAAAAGGGCTGACAAGCGTGCATAGCCAGCACTAAATTAAGTGATTTCGCATTATCTTATTGCTGAAGCTTTTCTTAATGCCAATATTGAAAAATTATTACACTGCGCTCCACTGTGTACTAAGCTTTAGACAACCAACTGAATTGTGGCGCATTTGAGTCTCGCGCTTTGAAAACATTAAGCTTTTGACTGATAGCTGTTAATGATGTGTTTGCGCCTGCGCTCTACAAACTGCCCACCAACGTTAGGTCTCCGTACACTCCTGCAGTAGAAATAAAAAATTTTACAAACTGTTTCAATTACTAATGTACAAGTAATACAAGTGTCTCGATTACTGCACGCGGCGCTCCAAGCGAGATCAATGAACGTCCGCAAAAGTTGCTGCCTTGCTTACTAGCCGCTGATGAGCTTTTCTTGGTAAGCCAGTTGTACTACAAGTATAACATATACGTTGGTATGATAAATGGATGCCAGGGCCGTAAACGTTACACTTTGGTGCTGGCAGTTTTTGTTTCTGTTGCTACCTCACAGCTACTGTAACATTGCTATGCTTGATCTATTTGCGTTCGTTTGATGATTTCTTTCATTGTTTTTAATGATCTTCGCATAGACGAGTGCAATTGCTTTATTAACTTTTGGTTTAAGTGATCGATCCACAAACATTACTAACGCTATGTTGTTTTTTTTTGTTGTTGTACTGTAATAGTTGTAGTTGCTACTTCACCTCCAGTTAAGTGGTGCCGGACAAGGCAACTGTGGGTAAGTGACAGATGAAGATCATTTTTCTCAGCGGTCGATACAGTGAACGCGCCTCTTGGCCACAGTCCCTCTAACCAGATTTGTGAGCGTTGGCGCATCACTTCTGTTTGTTTTATAAACCTTTGTAATTATCAGATATATGTTTAGTGTAATTTATGATTCGGTCGCGTGCACTGAAATAGTTATTTGCTTTAAATATAAAAGTGCTGTTTTCATAAAAAAAATAAAAAATTGAGCGCAATTAATTGTTTAACCTCTACTAAAATGGTAAAAAAAAAATTAAATAAAAATATTTCAAAATATTATAAAAATCAAAAAAAAAAAATTTTTTTTCTTTTAGGCCACTCTTATGCAAGTTCTACTGTTTATATGTCTGTGCTACCAGAATTTATGGATTACTTATGGCGCTACACTTTCTCCTCTCCGAATTAGTCATCCTGTGAAATCGCAACAAAGAAATAATGAATATTTACCGCCCTATACTACGGAGACGGAGTTTATCGGTGAGTTTGATTTGAAATTTCGTGTGCAAAAAATTGGGAAGTGTTTGGTGAAGCTTAAAAAATAGAAAGGCTTCCTTAATATCATTCCTCAAGAAGCTGAAATACAGAGTAAAATATATATATTATGAACTTTAACTCGCTCGGTCGTGAACTCGAATCCCTCAGACATTATTTAAAATTAAAGGAAATAGTCCTTTAGAATAGCGCTCTCTTGGCTTGCTGTGGGCCTTAAAGATTTCCAAAAGTTTTCTGTTATGATAAAAACTTCTTTCAAAAACTCAATAGCCATTTTGAGACAGTCTAACTGTTATTGACGCTCTATCTCTATCTTTCAAACAATAAGTTTGTTTTAAGTTAACATGTGGACTTTTCGAAAAAATTAAAGAAAATATTTAGTTTTGTGGATTCGAGACGAAAATAATTTAAAATATAATTAAGTTAGATATATGTATTGTAGATTGGTGCCACCCATAAAAATGAATTATTGTAAATGTTATAAACAAATGTTTGACAACCATAAAGTTTTCACATATAATTAAAATATAATGTTGAAGAGAGTTGCCGCATATTGAAAATATTACACTAAACTATATAATGTGCATGCCAGACATAAGGCAAATAGAAAGCTTTCTGACAATTATTTGAAAAGCCTTTAATTTACACGTGTATATGTGGAAATAGAGTTGCCACGTTTCAGAAAAATTAGAACTGAGCAATCTGTATTATATACCTGTATATATTTACAGATGTCAGAAACCGGAACAACGCAAATGTGTGTAAAATATTTAGGTAAATCTTTCAGATAATGGTCACAGCGGCAGAACGCAGATATATTTTCGAACTGAGTTGCCCAAAATTAAAGTTGAGAAAAATTAAACTGATTTCATTATTGGAAAAATTAAATTATACCAGGTTTTTTACTACTAATTATTCGCTTAATCTCATTTTTTTTACCGTAGAAGCTTTGCGTTGCTACATTCTTCAAGAATATTTTAAAATTGAACTACTTAATTAAACTATAATTTTCTTCAACAAAAGTTTTTTTTATAAAAAAAAATTGTAAAAAAAAATGTATATTTCTACATTTCAGCCGAAAAATCTATTAACTACAGTTCCAACACTTTTCGACCACCGTCCACATACCAAATACAGCAAGCGAACAAAATCCACCAGCAAACACAACAGTTTGCGGGCAAAAACTTAAGTAACCCACAGCAATCCACAAAAAATCTCTACACCTCATATGCAGCACCGGCTTCCGGCTCGGCACCATTCTTATACTCACAACCACAACCAGCGAATCAAGTGCCGTTGCCCACGCTCTTTCCCAAGTCTTTGGTGGAGCACCTTTCACCAGCTACACAAACGCCAACACAAATGCAAATGCAGCAGCTACAACAACGGCAGCAACAGCGGCTACAGCAACAACAGCTAAAACAACAACAACAGCAATCGTTATACACCGATTATACGAAGCAATTAACCAGCGATCTGCCACTCGCCAAGACACCGTTGCTCATGGTCGAAGAGCCCACATCGTCCCTGCTGACGCCTAGTCAAAATCTTACCTTGGAGGCGGCGCGCATTTTAGCATCCACACTATTGGAAGCCAATGGTGAAGCGCCGCTAGAAACACCTGGTCTTGCGCCGCTTTCGAATCCCAGCGCTTTGGAACTGCCAAATAAGCTCAACAGCACCGATGTTTTGATATTGAAATCGCAGAAGAATGCCTACATAATACCAGCGTCGTTGGCAAAAGGTTTGTTGTTGCAGCGCACAAGCGAAAGTCTTGTTAGCTAGTTTATTTCAATTACTTGTTGATGTAATATATATAATATATTATATTTACAGATGCCAGAAATCCGACCAACGCACGAGCACTCTATCAAATGCGTGATCAATTGGACAAAGCTTACACCATAAATCAATTTGTGTTCATCATAAAACCGGAACGAATCAATTTCTTGAATAAATTGGTTTAGCGCCACGGCGATTTGATTAATTGATTTATTGCGCAAGCGTCAGTGCCGATTACTTTTTGTTCGTTTCAGTGTCATACATATGTTATTTTAGTATTATTGTTGTTGTTTGCTATTAGTATTGTTGTTTGTCAGTATTAAGACATTATAAAAACATGTATTTTAAGCGTGGAAACTGGTCCATTGATTTGTTGTAGTCTATATATGACGTATCTTTTTTAATAAGGGTATGTAGATGAGTTACGACAAAACGAGAAAAATTGCTTACTGCGGTTGCATCGAAGCTATAGTACCCTTCATATATATAATATATATGTTTTGTTGTTTTTGTATTTCTTCAGAGACTGGATATTAAAACATGTCAGATTTCGTGAAGATATCGTATCAAATTAAAATGTTTTCATTGCTGCTTGATTCTGATCGATCAGCTCTTGGGGAGAAAAGAACGTGTGCAAAATTTCAGATCGGTATAAGTTACTTTTCAGATTTTCGTTTGATTTCGGAAATCCTTGATAAAAATCTATCTATCACTAAATCTGAACAGAAACGATCATAACCAATGTCTTGTATCCGGATGTCAGAACGGACTTCTTCTTGTCTGCAACACAACTTTTCACGAAATCGGTATTTTATTTATACACATCTCATAGAAAAAGTTGCAGAAGACCAGATCCCGAGAATATAGTGGATACGGTAGCAGTACGAAGCCAAACTCATGGAATTTCGGGGAATCGGGTATGAGCTCACGTGTTTAAGAACGCTATGTTCAGCATGTTCTTTTGATATCTTTATACAATTATTTATAGCATTAGCTAGAACACCAACAAATATGATAACACAAGCGCTGAGGTTTAAGTACTTATGAAATTATCAAAGAGGTGACCAATTCGAAAACTCGATATGATATTAGATCAATAACGAGGAAACCTAACAGTATTTAAATTCAAAAATTTGTTGTTTTATTTTTGGTAATTATTTGCATACAAAAATTATACAGGAACATCAAAGCTTAATTAATATTTAACAAATTAGTTATAACATCTTCTTCTAACACATTCATTTACACGCGCTTGTTGGGTGGCAAGTACGCATTTTCAACGCCACCAACTGGTGCGGCTCCATATTGCTGAGCAGCTGGTGCAGCTGGTGCCTTCGAGGCGAAGTCCAACACTGGTGCAACACCACCATTGTGGCTGCTTGTGTTACCGCCCAAACCATCGTATTGCAATTGAATAGCTTGTTTTGCATTCTCAGCATCGGCTGGAGTACGATACTTGACGAAGTGTACTTCGGGTTTGTTGGAATTACGGTGGTTCAGAGACTGCAATTTGTTAGCCAAATCACCGATATCAGCTTGTTTGCTGAGTACATAGATGGCAGTGCGTTCTTCTCCAGCCGATTTAGCCAATTGTATGGCGGCATTCTCGAGTCCAGAGTTTTCAGGTCCCTTAATGAAGATGACGCGCAAGTTTTTCTTCAATGAGTTGGCGTGATCACCGGCATCACCAGCATCATTGAAGTCATGTTCGGGTGCTGTGTAGGTGAAGTATTCCTTGTTAACCTCAACGGGAGCGGGAGCAGCAGCAGGAGCGTTGTAACTAGGGCCGGCTGGTGCTAGGCCGCCGTAACTTGGACCAGCAGCCGAAGGGCCGCTATAGCTGGGAGCAGAAGCGCCTTGTCCGCCATAACTGGGTACACTTAAGGCTGGGCCACCATAACTGGGGCCGCTCAAAGCTTGACCACCAAAGCTGGGGCCACTTAATCCAGCACTGAGCGCTGGACCATTGTTGCTCTCATAGTTGTAGCCAAGACTGGCTGCGTAGGCCGCAGAGACGACGGAGCAAAGGATCTGAAAACGAGAGAAAAGTAAATGTTATTTATGCCTACTTTTTTTTTGGTATTATTTGAAGTTATCTCACCAATAATGAACGCATTTTGTAGTTTGGTATCGTTTTAGCTTGCAACTCAGTTGCTTTCTGTTTGTTTAAGCCAAACTGAAGCGAATTTTATACGAAAATGTTTTCGAATAGAAATGGAAAATATTTTGAAATGCAACGAAATATTTTTGAACTTATTTACAAATCAAATACAAAAATCAGCATAACCGAAACATAAACGTTAAATATTCTGTAAATAAACTTGATAAGAAATATGCGAAATTTGACTGAACTGTTATCAAAAAACCATCTGTTCAAGGTCACATCTCCGTGTCGAACTGTCGCATAGATGCCCATATGAATATATTTTATCTGCTTCGAATCCCGTGAAGCGTTATAAATATTCATCGAACGATCGTCGCTGTAAATTATTACACGTCCGAATGAATTTTAAAGCGAAACCATACATATTTGGCTTTAATCAGTCGTTCGCAGATAAGTTGACTTAGTTCAGTTTTGGACATCTGATTTGATTATACAAATTTATCAGCAACAAAGCATATATGTACGCCATTAATGAATAAAACAAAACATGAGATGATTTTAAACATTGTTTTCAGGTCACTATTGCATTGCAAAATAAATCGCTAATTTATGCGCGCAGAGTTGGAGAATTTATTCGATATATTAATTTGAAAACGTCTGTGTTTAAAATTATATCATCCTTGTTTCTTCAATACCTCTTGTGTTTTGTTGGTTTGCCTTTTGATTAAATGACAGTATATAAATACAGTTTAAACGATCACAGAGACTTAGAGGGTATTTGACTGTTGGCATGGGCATGTAGTGAGCGGAAAAGTATTACTAGGAAGGATATTTGTAAAAAATAAAACTTTGTTGATCTAGGTAGCGACCTATCTTAACACTCTCAGCAAATATGTACAAATTTTTCAAGTAAAAAAAAAAAAGTAATGGGGACAAGTCCATCAAACTGTTAGGGACTACTTCAACAGGGTCTAATAATAAAGTTTACACAATAAATCGTACGACAACTTTAATTTTTCTATCGTGCTCCCTGTAATCAATTCCAATGTCGTTTACTTGAAATTTCCTCATCATCACGTTTTTTTCGGTTGCTTGCACTCCATAAATTTCTGTTAGACATTCTTCTTTATATTTGATTTAATTTCAATCCTTATTAAAGGTTTTCTCTGTCTAATGCCTTACATATTATTTTTCTTCGTTCTTATTTTTATTTTCTACTTTTATTATTATCCAGCATCAAACATTTTTTTCGTTTCGTACCACAGTTTAGATATCTATATCTTTATACTTGTCTCTAATTTTCATTCCTATTTCTTTTTTTATTCCAATTCCCGTTCCTATTTCTATTCCAATTCCCGTTCCTATTCCTATTCCTATTCCCAATTCTATTCCAATTCCCGTTCCTATTTTAATTTCTATTCCTATTCCTATTCCTATTCCTATTTCTATTCCTATTCCCATTTCTATTCCCTGTCCTTATCCCAAATCCTTTTAATACTCAGACTCTATTTTCTTTTACTTTCCCTTCCCTATTCCTATCCGATTTACCATTCGAATATCTATACTCATCCCTATCCCAAACCCTTTTATTGCTCTCAATATCATATCTTTATTATTTATACCCCATCCATTTCACTGTCTGTATTCCAATTCCTTTAATATTCAAATTCTCATTCCTTTAACTAGTCCTATGCATATAAATATATATAATATATATCTCTACCACAATTCATACATGTACTCATGTATATCTGCCTACATATATACTATCCGGACTCCAATCCACCCGCGGTTTCCTGTTTGCACTCTCATATTCATCTAAGCTCCACTCTGACTCTGTGAAATTTTTCCTGTTTCTCTTAGTTTTATTCAAGTATATGGTAGCTACTTTATTACACTTCTTCTAGCATTGTTTTTCTTTAAACATCGCAACACATTTAATCATTTCAGAAACTGTGAAGTAATCAATTCATGAAGGTTCAAAAGTCTTTCAGAAAATATTTATCTTGAAAACTATAAGAGGATAAGAGACAACTCATTCGATGATTTCTACGTCGACTTGTCTATAGTACTTATAAATTATTTTGACATGTTTACACTTATTTTCTGTTCATCTTTAATCAAGAACTATTTATAAGAAAAAATCGATAATCTACAAAACTGAAAATTTACTAGAGAATCACAGATTAAGTACAATCTCTCAAAACGGCTCAAAATATCCTTCATAAAACGGCAGTTTTTTTGTTACAACCAGCCTTTGGTCGTTTTTATATGACAACCGGTTACTCATAGATTTTGTGTTAACACTAAATTAAATTTTGTTCAGCCTAAAAGTATGTAAGTAACGATTGATCGCTGATTGATCTCCGATTCAAATAAAATGTCGTTATTTCGAATTGTATTGTACTTAAAGTCATATTATAACAATTAATTTTATATTTTTGGTTTATGATTTTTATGCGGTCACTTAACTACGTACAAATATATATGTAATCAATAAGGAACATACTTGCTTAAAAACTATTCAACAACCTAACTAGAGGCAGAATCGGCGTGTCGCACTTATTTAACAAATCGTTTATGCATTTAGACTTTGTTTGGTGGCAGGTAGGTGTTCTCCACACCACCGACTGCTGAGCCACCATATTGCTGAGCAACAGGTGCAGGGGCCTTCGAGGCGAAGTCCAACACTGGTGCAACACCACCATTGTGGTTGCTAGTGTTACCGCCTAAACCTTCGTATTGCGATTGAATAGCTTGTTTTGCATTCTCAGCATCGGCTGGTGTACGATACTTGACGAAGTGTACTTCGGGTTTGTGGGCGCTTTGGTGGTTCAGTGACTGCAATTTGTTAGCCAAATCGCCGATATCAGCTTGTTTGCTGAGTACATAGATGGCAGTGCGTTCTTCTCCAGCCGATTTAGCTAATTGTATTGCGGCATTCTCGAGTCCAGAGTTTTCAGGTCCCTTAATGAAGATAACACGCAAGTTTTTCTTCAGCGATTTAGTGAGATCACCAGCATCACCAGCATCATTGAATTCATGTTCGGGTGCAGTATAGGTGAAGAATTCCTTGTTAACCTCAACGGGTGCGCTGTAGCTTGGACCAGCGGGTGCAACGCTGCCGAAACTTGGGCCAGCAGCACCATGACCAACAAAGCTTGGACCACCAAGAGATTGTCCGCCGTAATTTGGACCACCTAGAGCTTGACCGCCATAACTGGGACCGCCTAGAGCTTGACCACCATAGCTGGAACCACTAATTTGGCCACGGCTTAATCCACCACCGAGCGCTGGACCATTGTTGATCTCATAGTTGTAGCCGAGACTGGCAGCGTAGGCCGCAGAGATGACGGAGCATAGAATCTGGAATTATAAAATTATTGTTAAGTGAGGTTTAGCTTGGCTCGGAAATCGAAATACAAGTAACTTTGCTATCTTACAATAAAGGCACGCATATTGTAGCTTAGGTTTGATTGTGGCTTCAGTTTGCAACTCAGTAGATTACTGTTGATCTCTCTAAAATTGTGGATAAATTTATACAAATTTTACTTCTGTGCAAAAATGCGAATGTTTTTGTAAAAATTAAAAAAAAAATGGTATTCATATAATATTTGAATTCAAGTATAATGAAAAGTTATGAAATATTTGAAAAAAATTATGAAAAAATGAATGCGAATATCGCAATAAAAATACACTCATGAGCGACTACCTTTTGAAGGTCGTGTCTTCGGCGATAAAATCGAGTAGTTTGCATATTTCTTTAGATATAAAATATAAATATTAAATATATTCAGCAATTTTTGCATTATTTTATTGTAACTGCTCAAATGTGCGAATGCGAATCGAAAACGAAACAATTTAATTTGGCACTAATCAGTTGAGGGCAATTTGAGTGACTCAGTTTGGCGATTTCGATTGGCTTGCGGATATTTCTTGCAAAAACAAAATCACAAGCAGAGAAATCTTCGAAGTTTGCTCCAATATGTTATTATATATAATAATATAATATATAAAATATCAGTTGTAAAAATTCGAACATTATTTGCTGCCAAATGCATGCATATAATGAAGTAATTGCTTTCATAATTAAATTCCATTCCTGACTAGTTATTTTTATTTGTGGCTTGGATGCTCATATATGCCATATATATGCCCACAAAAGGCTTGCTCTGCCTTCATCGAGCGATTGGCTATTGTAGCGAACGCATCATCATCCAGTGTAGGCGTTGTTTTAGTTCGTTAGTTTACATAATCTGTAATTCAGTTTGATATCGTTTAATTAATTTGTATAACTATATGAGCGTGGTGGTGAATGCAATAACTTATGTATCTAAGTAATAGCTCCATCATTGGAGCTGGAGTACGAGATATAATTTTACGAGTTTTATATCCCCGTAGTGGTACATTTTTTTGAACTCGTGACCGAATTTAGAATCTCAACCTTAATATACTCAAGAAGATCAAAATGAGTAAAAAAAAGTTCCAGTAAAAAGTAATTCATTAATTTTCCAATAGACGATATCTGGCGATGTATGTGATGATACTACAAACTTCTCCGACAGTTTTGTGCTTGAGGACGTAATTAGCGTTTATGGTCCTGACACCGCGAAATTTCGTTTCGTCGCTTCTGTTCAGTGTAATTTTGATTTTAATATTGCACCACGCCCTGGAAGACCCAGAGCTAAAAATTACACAAAACAATGTTTGAAACCATACCATGTCAAACGAGTTAACGCAAATAAAACTTCATGGACAGAATTTCCATCTGCGAGTCGCGCTGAGCCTGCCCAAAACAGTGGCCAAACAAGGATTGACAGTCAGGAAGGTTTTGCTATGTTTTGGTGGGATTAACAAGGAATCATTTACTATGAGTTCCCCCCTACGGTCCAACATTTAAGTCGGACCTGTACTGTCAACAATTATACTGTCTGAAGGAAGCAATCGCCCAGTAGCTGCCAGCTTTGGTCAATAGGAGAGAAATTGTCTTGCATCAGTGCTACGCCAAGCCACACACATCGATATATCTAGAAGAATCACAACAAGTTATCGAACAACACTGTGCATATTTGATCTAAATCGGATCATTTTAACCATGCTAAATAAAAACTTCAATTTAATACATAAGTGAAGGGTTTATAATGAGTTTAGCTGAGAAAAGAGTGAGCTTTTTTCATATATATAATCAAATATATTACACAAGGAAATGCAGCGATATGTGGAGCACTTACTGTCAGCCCAAAGTCATTAGTTAGTCTACAGCCAAAACATTTTTTCAACGACAAACTTGTATCTCATAGAATGATCGCTTTATCTTCCTTTATTGAGATGGCTGATTATAAATCGCCAAATATATTATTCTGCGTTCTGTACTGTGTTCCCTAAAGATTCTCTTAGTTTTTTATTATATGGAGTCAATTCAACGTTATTAAATTGTTTACAATGAAAGCCTTGCAAAATTAGTTATCGTCCTGAAGTATTTCATCTTAGGTAATAAATCTTTCTAATATATAAAATTATGCATATGGTGAATACTGTTAAAAGGGGATTTCGACTCGAAAGTTATATATTAGTATCTTCGATTCGAAATATGTCAAATTTTAATTAAGGCCATCTACCGGTTATCATATTATGGATACGAATAATTTATTTCAAACATGAACCGCAAAAACATCGAAAAAATACGAAGTTATACTAACTATTAAAATTTATTTCGAGAAAAATAGTTCTGAAACACTTTATCTGTTTCTTTTTTAAAAGAATTGAATTATAAAGTAATTTACGGATCTTCTCCGAAATAATGTGTTGCATTGTGTTATCTGCTGACACGAACTTATTAACTATTCACTATACAGTCTGTTATAGAAAGCCGATTATTATCACAATATCACCTCGTATATTAAAAGAAAATGAAATTCAATATTTCGAGAATATATCAAACGAGTATTCAGTTGTTCATCAGCAGCTAACATGAGGCTACTTACGAACACTTCTGTATTTCTTATGAAGTTCTGATTTTTCTTACGATTACCTTTTTGGCTATTGCCATATTCCTCTATATGTTAATATTCATTTACCGGAGACTTGAGTCATGTGTTCATAATTCAATTGAGCGTATAAAATAGTGAAGGGGTAGACAATAATTTGTATATTAAGTTGGTGAAAACCGATTAATAATAAAAATCCAAATTAGTTACAGGAGACTTATTAAGCTAAACATTTATTTTTGTATATTCAGTTAGATTTAACAACAAATTAACAGGAACTTTACGAACTAAATAATATTCAACAAACCAAACGGCAAATAGTCAACACGAATATTTACACCACTTTGTTTGGTGGCAAGTATGTGTTCTCTACGCTACCAACCTGTGCGGCTGTCTTCGAGGCGAAGTCCAACACTGGTGCAACACCACCATTGTAACGGCTAGTGTTACCACCCAAACCATCATATTGTGACTGAATAGCTTGCTTGGCATTCTCAGCATCGGCTGGTGTACGATATTTGACGAAGTGTACTTCGGGTTTGTGGGCGCTTTGGTGGTTGAGTGACTGTAGTTTGTTAGCCAAATCGCCGATATCAGCTTGTTTGCTGAGTACATAGATGGCAGTGCGTTCTTCGCCAGCCGATTTAGCCAATTGAATGGCGGCATTTTCGAGTCCGGAGTTTTCAGGTCCCTTAATGAAGATAACACGCAAGTTCTTCTTCAGTGTATTAATGATATCACCGGAATTACCGATATCACTGAACTCATGTTCGGGTGCTGTGTAGGTGAAGAACTCCTTGTTAACCTCAACGGGAGCGGCAGCAGCAGCGGGAGCGCTGTAGATTGGGCCAGCAAGAGCAAAGCCGCCAAAGCTGGGACCGGCAGCGGCAGGTCCACCGTGGCTTGGACCACTAAGAGCTTGTGCGCCATAGCTTAGACCACCATAACTCGGACCACCTAGAGCTTGACCACCATAACTTGGACCACTAATGAAACCACCGCTCAGACTACCACCAAGCGCTGGACCATTGTTGATTCCATAATTGTAGCCGAGACTAGCAGCGTATGCCGCAGAGACGACGGAGCACAAAACCTGTGAATATTGCAGATGAGTATTTGTTTGTTGCGGCTGTTATTTTCAAATCTCTTACCAAAAATACACGCATTTTGTAGCTTATTTCTGCTGATGGTTGTTACAGTTTGAAAGTCTAGTGTTTTCTGCTGGTTTGAACGATTCTACAGGCATTTATATATCAAAACCAAATTGTAGGAAAATACCATATGCAAAAGTTTTCAGTTGCAATAAAGGTTTTATGATTCACATTGCCAAAAATATATAATTATAAACAAAAAGAGAAACTTCCAAAATTCTTTTGAAACAACCATGCAGAGTGTAAATAAGCAAAATTTATTCAAACTAATATCTATATATATTTATTTTATACACTAACTGCCATTAAAGGGCGCACAGTGTTTTAAATTATGCACTGTTAATTGTGTTGTAATTTGTTGTGCGCCCAAATGCCGTCATCAAGAGACGGAACCATTCAAATTAGGCATTAAATTAGTTGCGCTGGGTTTGACATAGTCATCGCCATAACTTTGACTGACAAAAATCACAGCTCTTCATTAATATGTATATGGTTGAATAAGTTGCATCTTAAACTGGGTGCAAATTTATGCAACAATGGTGGGCGGATTTGTTCAAAATCTTTGTATGAATGAAGAAACAGAAATTTTTATTTACAAATGCTAATTAGTGAATCGAATTCCAAAATGGTCATTTAGTTAGTTCAATATTTTGTATTATATATATGTATATGTGGGCTTTGTGCAGAGGGTGACGGCTTTTTATTATTAAATATTTAGTTTGTAATTGATAGTTGAGCACTGGTGTAGCTTCAGTCATATCTTTGAACATATGTATAAGATAAGATTTTAATTCACTTTTTATTTGGTTAGGCTCATGGTGCCCCTAAGTGAGTGACATTTAGATAATATTCAAAAACTCGCTGGATTAAATTTACTTTTTAATCTAATACACCAATTAATTAAGGCTAATAAGGCAAAAGGTTGAAAACTTGACATTCGCAAAGACAATGCTCAACCATTCGTCATAATCAACACATGCTCCACATTCTGCCGTTCTTATAATGACCTTTGAAGAAATTTTCAATACGGCTATAATGTTGAACAGGTTGTCCCCTTTGCAGGTATTATATGCTATTGTATCCTTTGGTGAAAATATTTATATTCCATCATGGTAAGTGTTGCCTCATCATTAGATCAATGATATACTTTTACTTAAGAATGAGCTTCTTACAGATGCTTCGAGTACAAGGTTGCGAATTTTTTTTTTTTTTTAATTTTTTTTTTTTAATTCCGATGTTGGGACTAAAAATTAGGTTTTCATATTTTAATCCCGATGTTAGGATTAAAAATAAAACTTTAATTATTGATTTTGATGTTGGGACCTCGTACTTCAAATTACATTAAAAAAAAAGTTTTATTCAAAAGTTAGTTAAATTATTTGTATACTCTGAACAGGGTATATCAAGCTTGCCACGATGTTTGCAACACCCAAAATTAAACGTCGAAGACCTTTTAAAGTATAGGAATAATGGAAATAAAGTATAGGTATAGTATATAAATGGTCAGCGTGACAATCTGAGTCGATTTAGCCATGTTCGTCTGTATATACACGAACTAGTTTCTCAGTTTTTGAGATATTGTTCTGAAATTTTGCAAATTTCCCTTACCAAGGAGCCGCTCATTTGTCGGACTAATATACAAACTGAACGCTCGGAATCAAGTGCTTGTTTGGAAAACTTTTTCATTTGACGAGGTATGTTCAAGAAATATGGCAGACACTATTATCCAGGACATATCTACAATTTCCGAACTTATTGTTCAGATCGGATCACTATAATTTATCGCTGCCATCCAAATTGACCGATCGAAATCAGCCTGAGCTAATAAAAGTATGCCAAGGTTTAATTAAATTTTCTATACATTTGTAATAAGAAAAGTTTGGTTTTTTCGGTTTTCGCTTATTTTTGGGAGTAGCAGTAGTTTCATGAGTACAGGATGCGCAGTTAGGTTGTCAGCATCTATATTGCGACTATTATTCAACGTCGATTTTGAAAAAGAATAAAATATTTTGGTACGAGTAGACACATGGACGCATCGGCACGCTTCATACCCAAAACATTAACCAAAATGAATAAGGCGATCCATGAGAGATGTTGAGATCTTATGTTATCTCTCTGATTCCAACACAACGATTTTCAACTACGATTTATTTAACTTGTTCGTTATCGTCCTTAACAGAGGTGGGCGACTCTGATGAGGCAAGATTTCGATGATTTCACGACGATATTCAATGAATGATTTGTGTCACTAAAATACTTGTTTTCGTGATAAATTAGACTCCCCAAAATACTTCTGCAACATTTTTAGCCATGATTCCATTCGAAACAAAGAATTTCAAGCTAACTCGTTGTTAAATTTTATTCCATAGTAACGCATATTGCAATTCACATATGAAGATCAAATTTCCCGCAAACATAAAAAAAGGTTGTACTAATATAGGAAACATATTTTTATCGATTAAGTTTGAGTGCGTAGTTTGTATGGACCAGGTTGGTCAAATTTGAGCAGACGGTATGAATGGTATCATTTTGAACAAAAACTTGGAGTACCTTGACAATGAATATTTAAGTTTTAGAATTTTTACATCAATCATTTTAATTTAATAAGTAATAAATTGTTTAACATACAAATTCGCAAAACTTAGTGTAGCTCTCTTAGCGATTGCTAAAATATACAAGAAATTTCAGTAGTTCATAATAAACAAACATAGTGACGGGCTACCAAGTTACCTGTGATTTGTAGCTGGTAGTCATGCATAATTCAAATTTGGTTGTTGATATGTTGTTTTGTTTGCTAAATAGCTACTATACTCGTGCTAGAGGCCATACTTAATAGGGACGTTCGTTACACGGCTATCTGATCTAAGCGTGAGTCAGATATTTTAAGCGTTTAATCTAGGGTTATAGCGCACACAGCGAAACAAAAAGCTAAACTTAAGACACCTACCCGTACATACTTGTAGTTACTGACTTTTAAAATAGTGGCAACGCTGACATTATTATTCCAGTTTGTTACACTCTTTTTTTCTGGTAGCACGATTCTATAATCGGAACAAATCACAAATTCACTAACTACATTTACATAATAAGCTACGCTCTAAACATTTATAATAGTTGAACAAAGGCAAATGGAAGTAGTTAAACATTTGTCAATTCGCTAGTGATAAAATCTAAAATTGTTTATACAAAATGTTATGTATTATGACAAGCGTTTAAAATTGATTTTCATTTGCATAAATCTTTCTATAACAATGTTTAAAATTATGTTCATAGCCACAAACATAAATAAACATTTATACGGATGAGTTCATCTCCGCGGTATTTTATGAGTTCAACGACTGTCAAGCCACAAATAAAATAACAACAAAAATGTTAAATTTAACGCCAAGTATATTCATTGCCCATATTTATGCCTATATAGCAACATCAAAAAAAATTACTGAACATATATACAAGAGCGCGTCATTTTAACATACAAATCTACCCACATGATACCAAACATACACGTGTATACCACTAGGCTGCGTTAATGACTTATAAATATTCAATTAAGCGTAGATGGATAAAAATAGTGCAGTTTTTATTGTTGGAATCAAACTTAGGTGAATCTGTTTGTTTGACCCACATTTGGAGTGTACGAAAGCGGATTTCTATTTATTAGTGGTGGAAAATGCTCATCGATATATAAAATTATTAATATGCTATTATCGATTATTGAAATTGATCGACATTCACCGTACTTATAACCGCAACTATTTTTGGAGGTAGAAGGCGTGTATAATCTGAATTTGTAAATAGTAGGTGTAAAAACCAAACTCAGTTCGTGTGGATAAAAGTGCTAACGAATAACGGAAATTTAACCTAAATTATCAGTTGTACCTAAAACTCATAGAAATTGTAAGCTAAAAGAATATTTACTTTTGTCAATTCGTGTAAAATCCTTTGCATAATGTTTGATTTACTATAAAACAGTTCAAATAGACTTTATTTCGCTAAGATTATAAGGCAAGTAATTAGAAACGATATTGATTAGTAGGTGTATTTAAACGACTATATATGATAAATATTCTAGATACTCCAACAGTAAATAACAACTTTTGCAAACAAATTTCAAAATTTAAATTTTTCACATCTGAAATCGGAACAGGATTAGATCACCGTAATAACAGCCCCGATCGGCTTAGTAACATAAAGTAACAAGTATGGAAGTTTTAAGTTCGGGTGTAACCGAACATTTATCCTCTCGCAACTTGCAAGGATCAAAGCTCGGGAAAATACTTCAGTTGTTGGTAAAATTTTATATTTAGGGAAGTATTGATCCGATTTAACCAATTTTTGACACAAAGACATAATATTATCGAAAGTTTCATTTATTTACAATATTTTATTATATGAATTTTAATTATATTATATATCGTACACATTGACCGATATTTTCGGTAAAAAGTCAACTATAGGCACTGGGGCTACATATTCAGTACCTAGGGGCTTGAACAGTTTTGGTTCGATTTAGAAAATTATTGGTCACAAGCTGGCACACTTTAAGCATGTTATTTGCACTAAGTTTTACTCCTATACAGTCATTGTTTCCTTGATTTGCATAGTGGAAAGTGGAAATAGGCGCGGTTGTAATTCGATTTCACCCATTTTCGCATTATAACATAGAAATATGAGAAGAATGTTATGTACCAAATTTGGTTGAAATCGGTTAAGCAGATCTCCAGATATGGGTTTTCACCTAAAAATGGGCAGTACCACGCCCACTATCTAATTTTGAACGTGGTTCCTATAAAATCATCTATACCATCCCAGAGTTAAAATTAAATGACTCTGGTGTATTTAGTGCTGGATTATCGTGCTTTTAGTAGTTTTAACAGTACCGTTATATGGGAGTGGGCGGGGTTGTCACCCGATTCCACCCATTTTCACATTGTTCACATACAGACGGACGGACGAACAGACAGTCACCCGGATTTCAGGTGATACAAACAACCGTTAGGTGAACAAAACTATTATACTCTATGCAACATGTTGCAAGAGTATCATAACATAAGCCCGGTTATAGTGGCAAACTATAACTCAAAAAGATCGATGGATGCGACAAAAATCTAAAACGAATCGTGATGTTCCTAAAATGAACTTCAATAGAAACTCAACTTCTAGCACTGT